CCTCCTGAGCGCGTGGTCCTCCTGTCCTGGTCGCGAGCACATGGAAGTGAGCTCGAGGTCTGTGAGAAGCGCGACTCGTCATCCTCATCATTATTTTAAATCAGATTTATGAATATATCAATTGGAAAAAAAAAAGGTGGATTTAAAGACAAAGATTTTGAGCAGCTGCCTGGTAAGATTCTAACTAAAGCTTTTATTCAGCCTCACAAACACATGGATTTCTTTGAAGGTAGATAGATTTATGTCTCTGTCAGTAAAAAAAAACTTTCACCGTGGAGGTGACAGAAGCTCGCGTGGAGATTTAATTTGCTGTGATTGTGTCTGAAACGATTGTTCTGCTGCTCGTCTGGCTTCAGTCTCTATTGTCTGTCCCAAGTCCTGGTGCTAATCCTGCAGGCTGGTCAACCACGCACGTGCTGCTGTCACTTTATTGTTGTTTTTGAGTGGATCTCTCTCATCAGATTCCTCCTCTCTTTGTTTTTTATTTTATTTTTTATTTATTTTATTTTGGTTGTGTACCTGAGGCAGCCATGCTTCCTCCTTTCTTTGTCTATGCTGGTTAGTGCACACTTCTGATCAAAACAAAAGGCATCTATCTGCACGTGCATTCAGGGGTCATTTGATGGATCAGCCTTAAAGCTGTATTTAAACCCCTTTTTTGTGTGTGATGTAAAACAAACACTCAAATGTGGTGCAGAAAAGCTGCGGGTTATTTTGGTAAAGTGATCATCTGCATCCTCCTGGTTGAGGTGTTGCTCTGAAAAACACCAAATCTCTTTAAAAAATTGCTTTTTGGTAAATATAAACTCAGCATAATAGTTTAAATGTTTGCAAGTGTAAAGTGCACAGACACATTTTTATGCACATTTTTTTTAATTGTAGTCACATCTGTCATTTCAAACCACATTTTAGTGGCTGATTGCCCTGCCTGAGGCACACGTGCACTAAGGGTTTTATTTCACCCTGATTAAACTTTCCTTTCACCTGCAAAGTAAAAAAAAAGTGGTTACAATCCAGGTTAGATTTCTTAAATTTAGGTTTATAACCTAATTAATTAAGAGTTGTTGTTGTTTTTTCCCCCACCAGAAATAAAACCAACAGTTTATTTTTAAATTCGGTTTAATGCTTCAGTATCTCCCCAAGCAACATGCAGAATTAATTAATTATTTGATGATTAATTGATCATCCCAAAACCTTTCTTCCCACAATCTTGGGCAGTTAAAATGCGCTCCCTGCATCTTTTTACCAATCTTGAACTTGTTGTTTGTTGATCGTCTTTTTTCTTAGAGAGCAGATCCAGTTCCTTTCAAGTGTTTTTAATTATATAGAAACATTGTTTAGTGAATATGCTAGAGTGTTTATTGTTTCAGCCCTGTGTTCACTTGGATACAGTACATTAGGAACCAAGAAACTAGATTTATTTGAAAATGGATTCCAAAGGGGTAAAAAAAAAAAAAATTAATAGCATTTTCATGTAGACCAGTGGTTCCAAAAGTTGGGGACGGGACACAACTATGGGTCCTGAATCAATTTCAGTATTAATTACATTTAAAAATGATAACTAACAAGATTTTTTTCCCTTAGTTGTTAGAAAATAGTGTGATTAGTACTGTACTTAAAAAAGGATGAATGTAGTAAATTGCATATTGTTTTATGTTTATTTGACCTATAATACAAATGTTTATCACCCAAATTAGAAGGAGGCACTTTTACTTTGTGGGTCAGAGGCTAAAAAGTTTGGTAACCATTGACGTAGGTGTCCAAAACATAATCCTTTGAAAATAATGGCGTCATAGCCACGCCTCTAATTTACCCCGGACACAAGCAAGTCCACGAGCAGACACACAGGTAGGACTCACTGCTCCAGTCTATCGTTTCAAACTCTTCAGCAATTGCCTTGTAGCTTCTGGAATAAATATTTCCTAACAGATTTTTTTAGCATAATTTCTGTCATCATTAATCAGTCAAAACATCTGTTTCCGGAGTTCCAGCTGTCTATGTTTTGAGAACAATTACTGCATCGGAAATGGATTAAAAACCTTTTATATGGAACAGCATACTCAGTCTTTTGTTGTCCAGATGGCCTTGAAAGTGCAGTTAACCAAATCTTTGGGTTTTGTTAATTTTGTAAAACAAATAGAGGCTTAGCGGAGCGACTACGTAAATGCAGCACAACTGGTAAATTATGAATGGAACACAATCTGGCTTACATTGATAACTGATTTAGTCATTAAGCTACCCAGATTCCAGTCATCTATTTCCTGCTGCCTATCCATGGTTGGGTTGCAGAGGCAGCAGGTCCAACTGAGAAACATCTCTGTCCACAACAATACTCTCTAACTCTTTACACTGTAAGGCCTGGCCTGGGTTCAAACCCAGCTGCAATGCAAACATGCCATAAGGTTCAGCCTACAGAGGAAGCTCATTTTGTCCGCTTGTATCTATGATCTACACCTCATGACTTCAGTTGAGGGTTGGAACGTAGACCAGCAAATCCTTACCTTTCAGCTTGGCTCTGTCTTCATCACGACAGAGACGACCATCACCTCATTACAGCAGATAAGACCCTAATCTGTGGATCCATCTCCTGCTCCCATCCTACCATCAAACTCCCCAGCTCCAGGCAGACTCACCCCTGACCTGGAGGGAGTGTTCACCTTTTAGAGAAAACAATTACTTTTCTCCAACTATATAAAAAAAAAAGATTTAAATTCAACCAAAAACTAACAAACAAACATCCAAGTCTTTTTCACTTTAAAGGAGACGTATCCTGCTTTTAAATCCTTCTTTTTCAAGTTTAAATCATTCAGTTAGTAAAGTGGAGCTGCAATGCTTTGGTCTGAATTCCTCCTTATTGTAACTCCACAAGCCCCTCTTCCATCCCTTTTTTAAAGTGTGTCTCAGACCAAGAGCGGCCCATACTAGCTTGAGGGGTTTACAACCATATAGTGGTGCAGAAACTTTTTATTTACAAATTAAAAGATTCCAACAAGGAAAGACTTGTCCAACCGGTCTTTCATGTTGGAGTCAGAGTCTGACCCAGAGCCAGAGGAGAATGAAGACCACCAAATTGTAGTTGGTAAGTCCAGACCTTACTTGGCAGTTCAGTCCCAAATAATTTGAAATAAGGGTTCAGAAAACATAATAGAAAACTGAATGGGTACAGAATATAAAGATAGCTTTGCAGCACTGGGACGAACTAAATGCAACTTTTCTGCGCTCCTACAGACTCCAAATGCACAACCAAGTGTAAGTGTACTTAAACAGTAGATTTTGCATGTTGTGTCCCCTTTAAGCAAAGCACCAAAATGTTCAAGCTGGGATTACATTTTAAAAAGTGTAAAGCAGCTCTCTCTCTCTCTCTCTCTCTCTCTCTCTCTCTCTCTCTCTCTCTCTCTC